GGGGCCGGTTGCCGAGTTGATTGGCAAACTTGCTATTTATACTGTTTGTCTCGTTGTTTTTTGTAGTCCCTGCGGATGCATCCGAAGCGCGGTTTGAAGGCTTAGAGGAATGTAGTAATAATAATAGTCTATTTTAGGGTAATAGGCAATGCCATTGATGACCCTATTGAAACGGTACATACAATATACATGTTAAATGCACACCTTACTAAAATGTTGTCAGTAACATATTTGTTTACGGTAAACGTTTTTACAGTGTGGGACTGCTAGGGTGCGGCAGGCGGTCTTTTCAATGTACATATAAAATTTTAAATGCAGTTATATACAATCAGCATAAAGTGCAGTCATTTGCATAGTTTGAGAGGGAAAATTTCATTAAACGTCAGGGATGTGTTACATAGGGATGTATATTTTTCATGGGCTTTTCGTAATTACTCAGTTTTCTCTCAACTGTACGATTATTCCGAATTTAAGGGTTTCGAATTCAGCGGCTAGCTAAGACTTCCGCTCTAGTGTACAGCATGCGTTAATTCTCACGGGTGTTTTTTCCGAAATCCTTCACCTGCTTACTTATCTCGAAGCCAACATGATGCGGCAGGGCTCATAAAACCGGCATGCTGCGCTGTCAGGTGACTGAATTCTACCTTTGTGTGACTTCCTCATCACTGGGACGGATGGCCCGTGACCCAGTGGTGGGGCGCTCTGGCCAAAGTGTCGGCATTCGAACCCCGGGTGCCTGACACTGCCTGTTTGTATAGAGTTGCGTTACTTACCAGTCATTTCAGTAGTTGTTTTCGCGAAATATATTAGCACTAATCGCAGAAAGGGTCGTCGGTAGGAAACAGTATGCCTTAGTGGAATCCGATCGACGTTGGGTAGTCTTTCCTGCTCAAATAATTCCGCAGATTTTAGACCACAATAATAATTACGTTGGTGTTCGACAAATTCGCATTTTTAAGAAGTTCCCAAGGACGGAGTACGCTTTCCCTCATGTCCGGAATTTAAGGAGGAGACACCCCCTTGCAAAGTAATATAACAAATTATTTGCTTGCGAATTTCACTCATATTTTTACTTAAATTGATACCTGAGAAGATGTCCCCTCAAATGCAAGTTTCAAATTTTTCATCGTCGTTTCATGACCTTCCAAGTGTACTGTCTACGCCTGATTTGACCGTTTTTTCTTCAAATATTGGCAGGTTTGGGCCACATTGCGATGACCTACTACGAGAAAGTCCTCGACATGGAGCCGGTTGGCAACACAGAGGAAGAAAAGAGGGTAACTGCCGCTACCTCCTATGCTACATTTCGCTCGGCAGTATTCTCTGCATAGGTTCAGGCGACTTTGAGGTCGCCCCCGTCCCCCTACAGCATTATCCGTCGATCCGCGGTCTTTGTCAAGCCCCAAAATTTGTTTGCTTTAGCGAACCCAACGGATGGACGCGCGCCTATTCCTTTGTAAACTAGGGCCTCTGTCTACCGCCACAGATGCTGGCGGATGGCGAATTACCGATAAGCCTTGTTTCGGCAATGTTAAAAATTCGTCATTCCGGGTCTGATTTCTGGGCCACCTTCACGATGCGAGTGTGCCTGTGTGTGTGTGTGCTTCCTGACGCTATGTTGGCCACACATCAGTCTGGCCGGTTGCTTGTGAGTTAATCCCAATGCGACCGACGAACAAGTATCAGGACCTTCAGTATACCACATCTATCCATCCAGTCTAACCTGCCCACACTGCTTCAGGACTTCCTTCATCGCGTGACCCTGGTCGGTCATGTGCGCATCCTTGAATGCCTTCAGCGCGGTTCAGACCCTTTCTCGTCACCTCGCCCTGTCTGCACACACGCCCTAGGGTGTACGTGAACCCCACCCGTAGCGCCTTTGCTTTCACTGATGTGGCTGACGAAGCGTCGCACGTCAGAAGGTACCCATTTAACATAAGTGGGAAGCATGCACTTTAGCGTATCCTGATATCCGCAGTAGTGGTCTGGTCGTGTGCGTGAGACGCGCAGATGGGTTGTCCAACAGCCTTGTCAGTTAGGGCTCCAAATTTCATAAGAATCGTATCAGCTGTCTTGTCTGTCTACTCGCATCCTTATCGGTCTACGCCCGCGATCCACTCCTACCTAAAGGCTCGAACTCTGACGTTGCTTGAGAACAAATCATTCCGTATGTGTATGAGAGGTATCATTGTCGTCAAACTCCACACTATGGTTGTGTCTGCTATGGTAATTTCCGTCCCTCCCCCTCACGCTCACGGGGTGGGGAGATGGAATCCGCCCGGCATGCATCCGACTTCACTCCTCCCCTTTCCTTTTTTTGAGTAGTCTGTCTGCACATGTTCATTTTTCCGTCTTTCAGCTGCTCGATCTAAAGCTTGAGGCCGCCTTCAATCTTCAGCAGTACTATCGCCAAAGCCACAACCCCAACATGGCGCGATACATCACGGAGAAGTATCTTATCGTTTAGATCTTTTCCCCATCCTACCCCCGCCCCTCCCTCCCTTATGTGTACACTTTGTAAAGCTTCTCACATTAAAAACTCAAGTGCCCCACTGTGCGTATTGCGTGCCCCAAATCATGCATCAATTGCATTATTAGGACGCGCCTACCTCTGGACAGCTAAGTTTCGTGTCTCTTTTTTCGATACTCGCTATCCAGCCCTCAGGAACGTCCGTCTCCCGCGAAACGCCAAGTAGCCAGGGTATGATTATACTTTTGTCAACTGACTCGACCCCATTGCTATTCTCCATGTGGCCTGTCGCCTAAGGGTCGCTAAACCAGTCGGCGAATTGTCAGTGTTCAGGGTGCTCGTAAATTCTCTTGGGAGTCCCAATTCACTCCAATGACAGGGCAGCTGCCAGGGGCTTTCAACCGAGCTGCGCTTAATTCAAATCATTGTTCAACCTCAGGCCAACGGGCGCAAGTGTTGGGTGAGCAGTGGCTACTCGCGCCTGCCTGCCTCACATGAGGACGGGGCTTGCGCAATGTCGCTACCGCCGCTCCACCGCGGGATCGCGACGACGGGGCATGCTCGCGGGCGCGCAGTCGCTGGCCAGCTATCTTCCCCGCCCTCGGCTTCCCGCGCAGCTGCTGGGTCCTTAACCGGCACCAACCGGACTCCGCCTACCTGAATATCATGGTCGCAAGATCTGCCACGGAAGCCGCTGCGGCCCGACGTTCGATTCCAGTAGGGCAGAAAGTGGGGAGAGGGTTGTTTCCACTGTTAACTGAAGACGACCGTTCGGATGGAGCATACTAGCTTCGTGTCGGATCGAAAAGTCCACACCTGCTGTGGTTTTTGAGATCGGGGAAGGAGCCGGGCTCTACAGACCCACCTGCGCTGATCATCATGCATACACGGCAAATCGGCGGTAACCGGGCGTGATCGCCGTGGCAGGCTCCCGACGAGGACGCAAGTATGGAGGACTAAAAAATACTGGCGCTCGCCTTCTCCAACCGGTTATGGCCCTGACCAACATCTAGGACAAAACCCAGACGCGAGCGCGCACGCTGCCTACACTCGTGTGAAAGTGGCGTCGGAATGATAAGCCAGTTCTACCGACCGCTACTACGTCCCGTTCGCGTCTCACTCTCGGCCCTCGCCAGGGATGACCGAGACTTCACACATGAAATAGACCCCATTAGGTCCTGCCACAGAACACAGTGACTGTGCTTCGCCCTGCCACCGGTCTCATGTACTTTTGTTCCGAAAGGGCAGTCACCGATACGGGCTTCACCGTCTGTGTATACGTTCTCTAGAAACAAGCATGGACCTCTGCTCGCGTAAGTCCATACAAACCTGCAACTGGTCTCTGAACCTATTTCACTATGGTCGGCAGCGGTTCTCATGGTGTAGGTCAACGCACTACCCGTACCAGTCCGCTGCAGGTCCCAAAGGAGGTCGTGGGTATGACAGCGGAACAAAACAGGTCGCAGGATCAAAATCCCACACGCATTTCTTGGGGTCCTGACACTCATTACACCAGTAACCCCCTTATTCTAATTCCTTGAAGAATAGAGTGAAATGCGCCGACTCAGTACAGCATCGTTCGGTCAAGTCCAGGTTTGGATCCTACAATGAGTACACATTCAAAACGATGCTTTAACCCTGAAAGGCACGTCGTATGAACAATGATAGGACATTTGCTGCTACGAGCGAGGATCCAGAACGGAGGTCGAATTGGTTTGCGTGGGCAACCACACCGCAGGACCATAAGACGGAATCAACACACCCGCCTCGCTAAGACCTCGGGTGAAGTTGGATGTACTCCGCCGACTGGATCAGTGGACGTGAGGGCGTTCGCTGTAAAAGCGTGTCAACCTTGAAGTTTAGGCCGTTCACTCGATCAACGTCTCCGTGGTCGAGACTGTTAGCTTTAGACCCCCTCTCTCCCGCTCGTCATAAAGCCCGCAAATCCAAAATTCGGCGACACCAGAAGGATGCGGGGAAAAGGCGTCCCCTGAAGATATGATGCACTCCAACCCAGACAAGCCCCAAACGTCCACCTGCTTGCAATCGGTCCCACAAAAATTTCTCAGCAGCAGCGTCCGGGCGAAGTGTACAGGCATCGGCGCGTAGTTTACGCCCGCCCTCCTTCAAAAGTGCACCCTGAAGTACAGAGAATGTGCGGGAGGCAGTCCCCTTCAACACAAAGTACAATTTACGTTAAGAGCATGATTGCAAAGGAAAACGAGCGGCAGGACGGGGCGGGGAAGGTACATGAATATTTACAGATCGGAGTAAAAGCGTCAGTTCTCGGAACCTGTGTTGAGTGCAAGGAAACACTTCTTGGGCCGCGTGTGTGCGACTTGCACAATATCCGCAATGCGGGTGGACGAGCTACTTCGGTTATAACAATATAAACGGTTGTATGTGATAATAAATATTAGTTAAAAACTCTTAGGGGGGATGTGACGTTTGCAAGTAATACATGGCACGTGGAGGTGGTGTGGGGAGTGGGGGAGCGAGGACAAAAACAGGTGGACGTTATGCGGGTTCCTCAGTCAACCTGACTGTTCATGAAGGCCTCCTGAATTTCTTTGACCATCTTGATGCGGTTCAGCATCACCTGTAGGTCCTTTACACTGACCGGCACTGAGGAGAACCAGGCGGAGGAGCAGAGGGCTTCCTCAGACAGGCTTTCCAGGTAGAATGCACCTCCCTGACTAACCAGAGCAGGTGGGCTGAAAGAGGGTAAAAGAAGGCTAAGGCAGGGAAGCTTACGGCCAAGAAAGTGGGGACAACAGTGTATAACTTAAGTACTCATAAATCTTCCTTGTTCACCTCACCAGGGCGGCCTGCTTTAGTTTTGGCTACGGTTTTTAAGTGTAACAGCGATTTAGTGAGAAAAGGTGCAGACTAAAAGCAGCCAGTCGCCGCAGGACAGCATTGGAGCTGAGCCTTGAAAACTGACTTTATTTGTAAGCCGATCTACTCAGAGGGCATACTAGGCAGTCCTTACTGTCCATTGCCCCGACTAACAGTGCACGTGGTCGAGCTGAAACCTCGGATGTGGGAATCAAGTCTTGATTCCTAGAAGCAGGCAACCCGTCTCACCGCTTATACGTCTTTCCGACCTCTGTGTTGTAAATAACCTAAAGCTTAAACACCTACATCTTTTGGAGGAATGATGCATAGTATACTAAAACGTTTGGCTAATGGCATGAGATAGTGAGAGCTTTCCTGTCGATGTCTAATGTTATTGGTGTCGTGGTCATATCCCGCTAGTGGCCTCGACGTCGAACAATACTGTTATCTAATCCAGAGAGATTTTGTTCCGTGGATGCGGTCGTATTCAGACTTTTTGACCGATCCATTGACTTTTCTACTGAACCGCTTGGCCAGTCTATACATGAGTGTGCCCAAGTCAGCAATTTTTGTCTAACCCACAGAAACGTGTCTGGGTTCGGTCACCGACATCGCACATCATCGAATCCGGCCTGTTTTGCCCATCAGACATACCCTGATATCCGACTCACAACGCCTGTCTGTATAAGACAACCGTTACTACTCTCAGTGACTCCTGTAAAAATTCCAAAAGCGAGATTCTACCGATCTCGTCATTGAAATGCACAAGGACATCGAGCGTCAATCCAGAGGAGGCTAAAATGCTTCATGGCGTAAACTGTGTCAGGAACGCCTACGAGGACAATCAACGTTGAACCCGAGGTAGCGACCTGCCGCGCGTTCATACAACCGAATAATCTATGGTGGTAGGACAGAGACCTTTCAACCATCATCCATGGTAATAGCCGCACTGGTTCCCTAGCCAACTACAGTAGGTGGGCTAACTCATGAAATGTCAACCGAAATTCCGGAATGCGTTTTCGACTTGAAAAGACTAATTAACTAGGGTTGTAAAACTAATCATCGTGCACGATAATTCTATAATAATTCAGTTACCGCAGGATGCCGACTTTCGAATGAACTTATTTCCGACTGCATTCAATAACTGTACTCTGCAAAAAATGACTACTTAATTAGCATGCAATTCTCTCATTGGTTTCCGATGCCCTTGAAAATTCAATTATATTTCATGGAAAACATGCAAAACAATATTCATCCTTTTACTTATCCGGCAGAAAATCGCGTCTTCTTCCAATTTTATAATTTAAAGAGGAGTATAATTTGGTTTTAAAACACTTCTAATTCCCGAATAATTTTGAACACAACCTGCCCTTACACTTGGATTCAGGGTTTCCAAGCTACAAGCCGTATATTTTTCGTGTACGGAAAACCACACATTCGTCTACGGTACTAAAGGGGGCCCATACAGGGTTCAGAAAATTAAGCAGAGGATTTGAGCAATATTGCTAACTTTACAAGCCGCATTCGTAAATGCAAATACATGACGTTTTATGAACGGCTGTTTTATGGTATTAAGAAATCGCCCAATTAAAAAACTGTTTTGAAACCGAATTATACCCTTCTTTCGAGTATAAAATCGGAAGATATCACAATACCAACGATGGGTAAGCAACGTGAAGAATTCGTAGAAAGAATTTGTATTCCTCGGCTTTTACCCCAAACGGTGGTCTTTAAAGTAACTGGACGAAACCAGGTGAGCACATGTTTGTTCCAGGTTAGTTAATGTCAACAGCTGTCTACGATGGGTCGGGAGATAAGATGCAAAATTTGGACATCTGTGTGTCAGGGAAGTAGCCACGAGGACAACAATGGCGCCCTGGGTTGTTCATCTCTGACAGGGCAATGTAGGAGAGCTGTATCAGCCGTGACTGGAAGCTGGGAGCGACGGCTTTCTTCACTCTCCGGAGATCTAAATGTTTATGTTCTACCGACGCGGTCAAAATCGCAGGTCTGCTGGGTCTTGTCTGTCTTCCATTGCGAAAGAGGTAATATGCGTAAATGTGGGACTTACGAAAGACCAAAAAGAACGTACTCTAAAGGCGCCGGAACACGAGGGCGAACGTGCCTCAAAAAGACGCAGTGTAACTAGGGAACAAATGCAACGGCTAGTTCGCCACCTGTCTGTGGAAGAATGCGCTATGTCGACTGCTGGGCAGTGATCAACAAACGAAACTCATCCGCAATTCTCTGTCTGCCACCAGCACAACTAACCATTCAGTCCACAGGACTGTACGGTAACGCGTGCCGACTACGTCGGATCGCCTATCAGTGCCGAGTCTTCGGATCTAACTTGGATAATATTGGATGCATGGCTCGGTGTAACCACTGCGAAACTCGAGCCCAGGCGTATTTGTCTCCACTACTGCTTACGCCCTCCCATCGTCTACCACAGTTCTACTCATACAGGCGTACCGCCCGCTCGACGCTCACCTAGGCTTCAATTATCCGCAGCAAGGATTTCTTGCCAAACAACAACAACAAATGAGGAGTCTCGGGAATGAACACCCTAGACAAAACTTGGTAGGCGACGCTAGAGAATAAGTATTGGATGTTTCCTGAGTTCAGACTGCAGGAAATCGTAACATTCCCACAGAGAGAAAAGCTGCGCAGCCGGGACTGTCGAAACGCCGTTAAGTTGAACCTGCTCCGGGTGCTTCATTGTTTAACTGTTGTCGGCACGTTTTGTGTCAGTACTACTTATTGCATACAAATTACACTACGGCCACCCTCCATGAAACAAGCCTAAATTGCTCGTGCAGGAGCTCAATGTTGCTGCTCTAGATTCGGCACCGTTACTCCATTGGAGACGTCGAAAAGGGTGTCAACTTAAAACCTGGCTCGACATAGTTCGTCAGGACATGGAGGTGGTTCTTGTACCGTCGGTATTCGGTCTCCGTCGTTGGCGAAGAGAATGGGTTAAACTGTCCCGATCTGCTGCCGCGGATCGTCACGTGTGGAGAGGTACAGTTTGGGACATCATCGAGGCCGGCTAGATCAGGCATGATCGCAGCCGTACCAAGTGCAAGTATGACAGACGACAAAGAGGTATTTTCGGGTGGAAGCAAGGCATTTGCTTACCATTTGTCCGCGTAGATGCGATAGAGACGGGCGGGACACCGTTCTGGCTGTTCGCTGTTTACGTAGAGAGGAAAAACTTGCGTTTCCGGAGGGGAGGCGGTATCGGATCCGGCGAGGGCCTGCGGAGGCACAAAGCAGACAACCTCCTTGCCGCCATCACCGGTACGCTTCACCGGGAAGTTGGCAAAGGTGAGCTGGCTGTGGTTTTCACCCGTTCGCAAGCAATAGTGCTTGGTGATGTAGTAGAGCAGAGTGAAGATAAGGATCTGGGGTCGGAGAAGAGGGCGAAATCAGGTCAGACAAGCAATAACCGCTGAAGGTCTATGTAACTGACAAAGCGCAGGTCCGTCACTGGTGGGGAGTTACCTGACTCAATGATCACCTAAACTTATGTCCAAGTCTCAGACGACGATAAATGGGTATAAATAAGCATCCTACTCTTCATGGACTTTTTTATTAATCTTGATCTTCGTCATGGATAAAAGAAATAACTACTTCTGTTTTTAGGCAATCAGAAGTTACCGTACATCCCGATATGATCGAGGAAGTTCTCCTAAAGGGCAGTCCGACAGTGGCTTTGCAATATTTTAGACACGGAACAATCATGTGCACCTGAACGCCACAAGAAGTCACGAAAGCAAAGTCAACAGGTGGTAAATCCTTGTTGATTTGTATCGAAGGCTGTCTTCCGAGTGCAATGGGGGAGAGACTAAATTTGTTAGCTTGGAGACGCATCGGACACATGCCCTCCAAAATTGTATCGCTTAAAGAGTACAACAGGGGAGTGCGCGCGGAAGTCAATCATATGACATAGACAGCCACGGAACCTGGATAATCGTGGCTTCAGGAACGGGTCGGCAGAAGCACTCACTTGTGGTGATTCAGCACCCAGTTGCCTTGCTTCCCACAGATGCTCCTCTTCAATGCGGCATATGAGGAGGCCCTCTGGACTGATTCGTGGCTGAAAGTCGGCCAGCACCGTGTCTAGGGCGTCGGCAAAGGCGGCGAATTTCGGCTTTCCAAACAAATTGACAGACCGTCCGTTCTCATTAAGGTATTCTTGAATGCCTGGTAGGTGGAAGGACAGACGAAATAAAACGGATATAAGACAGACGGAAGAATCATCATCATCAGCAGCAGCAGCATCAGCGTACGCGCTGGCTGATAAGCTGGTTGCATAAGTCTTTTTGGCTTGAATGGCCTTGCCTTGTACATTACATCGTTGGTCGAAAATACATCGTAAAAAGAGATAAGGAAACGACATGAAGCAGGGACGGATGACAGGCGTAGAGCTAATTCTATAGATGGCTGGATGACACAGGAACGCAGTGACAATTCCTGGGCAACAAATCCCTAGACGACCTGTGCAGCTGCAGAAAAGCAGAGGTCCATAGTGTGCCTTGCTAAAAGGAGTAGAGCTTATCATCCTTCTGATGCGTATTGCTCATTTTCTACCTACGATGCGTCGACTTAGGTAAGCAAGGCCGAGTCTAAGGACGAAAATGACTGCACGCGAGTTTGACGTCGGTGTGGTGGTACGCCTAGGTGCGGGTCCGGCCGTGCCAGCCACCTGCGCCCTCCCCGCCCCCGGTCTTCTTGACTCTGTCTTGACACTGGGGTCCAGGTGGGGGAACGAGGGGGGAGTGCGGTAGATGCTGTGCAAGCCCACTACCATTATCAATTAATTCACGCACAAACCGCCGTGCCTGCCCTAGCCTCGCTGACGCACACGGTGGAGACCGTCGGCAACGACTATCGAATTGTTGAGAAATTGGGCCGGTTTTCTACGAAATGGCTCCTATTGTGCAGAGTCCAAAAAACGCACAACTTAGCGGCTCTTGGTTTTTGAAGGGCAGGCCAACTGATCGCATTATTACTCCACTCTTCTGCAGATTTTTAAATTTTATAGTTTGAATTCGAAAACGCGCCTAAATATGATACGGTCCCTCCAACACTTCAGGCTCCTTGACCGAGTAGAAAGATGTTTGCCCTGATAAGATTGGGCACTTCGTCAAAAGGAGTGGGTCTGGGTTGTATACTGAATGGGGCATGACTCGACGCCGTCTCGTTACTGGAGTGTCTCCGATGTGGGCGTTGTCCTGTGGATTTGAGCGTTATCCCGCTCCGGCAACGTGCATTTTCGGATCGGCACAATCTTTAATGCCCGGACGCCTTTTGAAACACAACAAACATTAAACATGACCAATTCCTGATGTACTCTTGCTGGCCGCACGGGACTAAATTTTTACCAAACCCCTGCTCAAATTTCTAGCAAACGACAATTTTCTTCTTAAAGTAGTTGTGAGGCCAAGGTTTGAAAGTATGGTCCATGAAGTAAACGTAAAACCCTACCTTTATACGGTTTTAAAGATCTCAAAGGAATGCAAGGCAAACATGTATGTAAGGCCAAAAATATGATTTTAAATGCCGTTAAATCTTAGTGTGTAGTAGTATCATGCCCCCTCGAGTATATGTACTTTGAGCGCGAGCTCTCGCGATGGGAATTGCGAGAATGGTGATTGGATAACTGGGTTGCGCCACTTGTGCAATCATTGGTTGCCCCCTTTTGTCACGTATCGACTGCGCTCCCCATTACTATATGCTAGCACCGTCCGGCGTGTATCCACAGGGTTCTATTGTGTCCTGCTATTCATCCCTTTCATCTTATTTAACCTTCGTTTTTTGTTTAAAGTGGTAAGGCGCAACTTTCAGACATCTCGGCAACGATAACTTGGACAAAATCCGAGTTCAGGCGCCACAGCGAGCCGCCATCGCATCGATAAGGCATTGTGATTAGGGTAGCCTAGCATGGGTTGGGGTCGTACGACGCAGGCATGAAAAGTAATCAAACACCTGTGTTAAAATTCATCTATCATCGTCGAGCGGACCAGTTTGCAGCGGTCTTGACGCTTTCAGCACAGCCCGCGGACGCCTGCTGTTGCCGTTTATGAGAGAAGATGAAGTCTCAAGAGTATGAAATCAGCGACCCCGTGCAACAAGATCAATTTAAAAAGCCATCCTCACGACGTAGGCCAACGTGCAAGGAATATTTATGATTCTCTGATGGGCCACCCGGAGATGTACGAACGTGGGAACCGAAAAAAAGCGATTACAAAAAAAGGCTGGTCGACGATACAGTTACTCACCAAGACATAGGTAGAAAATTGAGTCAGCAACATAAGTTTCGTTGTTTGGTTTGCGGACCTCATGCACAAAACGACTCAAGGCCAGGTTGAGCTCATCGTCAGGCACGTCGAGCAGCTCCGTGCACAGGGAACGCTGCTGTCGGCCACCGGCCATGTTGTGGTTGACCCAGTGGCGCCAGGCATTGATGCCGTAAGAGAACTTGAGATGGTAGTTGGCGTCGCTGGTGGTCATGGGAATCCGGCGTGACGGTGGGGCTGCGATGGCAGAAGACTCTTCCGGCTGAGTGCGCTGTCGCTTGGATGGATTTGGTTGTTGCTGTGGTGGATGTGTTGTCGTCGTGGTTGTGGCGGTTGCATAGGACGGAGTCAAAGAGTCACGTGGGGCCGGACGTTTCTGTGTCAATGACGTCAGATGACGCTGCTCATCAGGTAGCTTGGCCTCCTTTTGGCGCTTTAAGGGGCAAGTGGGCAAAACAAAAGTGTGCGGTCACTGGCACAGGTAGGTCAGACTGTTTCATATTAATAAGCCAGCGCTTCTACTTCACCTTTGAAACACACTTTAGTTTATGGGATAAAATCCTACTAAACGCTTTGCGGAAGAACACAGCAAAGTACTCGGAAAGTAGGACTTGGCTTCACTTCCGCAACCGGCAGGCTTGTCGTCGCAACTGCTAGGGGAGTGGTTGGTTTGTTATTCATATTCATGATGAATTTACACATGCCGGTCAACGAGGATTTAATGGATGAAACGCGTGCGTATCTCGCCTATTACGCAACTAACGGCAGATCCGATCGAAGGGGAGGAATGGCACAACCATGCTTGAGACAATGAAGCCACCTAGTTTGCTTTGCATCAAATGTAGCCCAGAGTTCGATTTCGGAACCACTGCAGACTGAATGTGGTCTTCAGGTGGTAGGATGTCATGAACGTAACAGTTCTCGTCAAAATGTTCCTAAAGTCTTAATTTTTGAAAAACCTTGATTTAGAGTGAAACAAAAACCGCTTGTGCAGTTTTCCATGCCATATTACAGGCCCAATCTCAGAAAATGATACCGGGAACTAGATGGGCTGCCATTACACAAGACCATAAGTCAGTTGGTCACTGAATTAACCCTCAAACATCGAGTCATGGGCTCGCACCATCGATCTGAATCGGAAGTATTTAAATAATATGGGAGTGGGGCGCATCGAAACGACTCAACCTTATGATGAAAAGTGGGCATTCTGTTTTACCGTGAAGTTCTGGTCTTTAGCTCTTGTGGACGGTCGAACAATCATGTTCTCCGTTAATTATAATAAACATCAGCAATACAACGATGGTGGATGGCATAAATGAACACAAAAACTGGTAGCTTGCAATAACGTTTGAAGTACTTGTGGTGGCTGAACCTCCTCTTCCTTGTCTTCCTCTTTAGGTTTTCCATCTAAAAAGGTAGGAAAAATTAGTCACTGCAGCCATATGCGGGAAAGGCAATAATCTTGAAACCAAAAAAGTTTCTCAAAGCCAAATAGAGAGGAATGATAAAAGGTATGTCACAAGCGAACAACGGAACCGCAGCTTACCGAGTTCATTCCCCTTCATGAGAAGAGGGAGTGGGATTACACAAGGTAGTGGGAAGGGCACTGCATATGGAACGGGCCGAGCGTACAAGTATACTGGGACTGGTATGTAAATCGGAACAGGCACGGGAATTGGTAAGAACTCTATCCTTTTCTCCGATGCACCTGAAGTAGTGGTCTCGCTGTCCTCTGGCTTCTCGGCCTCAACGGGCTCATCTAAAGATGTAATTGATGTGGGGGGGGAAAAGGAAACGTCATGAGGCAGTGACGCGACAGTGACACGGAATCCACACACCAAGTAGAACAATTGTAATTACGAAGAATTTTAACGACGGCACATCTCGTTTAGATGTTAAACTGTGGAAGTGCACTATTTTTATCGGACAGAAATGCAAACTAGTACGTGAAATAGAAAATAGATGGGAAAACAGACGCAGAGGGGCATGCAGACAGGTAGGAATCACGAACTCACCGGTCTGTGTGGCACAAACAGATGTTGAGACATCTTCTGTCTGAGTGGTATTTGCCCTGGGCATATCAGGAATGTCGAGCTCATCGTCACTATCCTTGTTTGAGCTACCGGAGAGGTTCGAGTCCGTCTCTATGGTCTCAACATCCTTTTTCGTCGCCTCCTCCTCCTCGTCTTCTTCTTCAACAATGTCCTTGACGACAGAATCTAAGTCCTGTTCCATGACGGCATCCTCCTCTGGTTCATTATATTTTAGTTTAGCTGGCTTCGAAAGAAAATCGCTGCCTGCTTCTTCTTCGTCAATCGGTTCAGTTTGAGATTCGGCGTCCCGAGCGTGCACAGTTGATTGAGTTTTGCGGGAGACCGACAATGGACGGCAGAGAATGGCTTTGTTTCGTGCGGCTACTGGGGCCGCTGGTTGCAGGATGACTTGTTGCTCAATGCCAAGTTGTCTAACCATATCAATAGGGACAACGGGAAATTGACCCTGAAGGTGAAAAGGCAATGTAAAAGTATCCAAATCTGCAAAATGACGACAGACTGGGAATTACTGTTAAGTATATACGTTGATGGGTACAGAATAATATTGACTACGAATATAGACACTACTTCGCCCGGCCAATGTTTAGTCACGTCAGTCTACATTTGCCACATCTTCTAAATAGTCATACTTACAGATGTGTGACAGACAAGGAAAGGTTGGTGTTCATTACTTCGGACTGGATAGTGTCTTGGATTAACACAGAAAGCCAGAAGACACAAGATTGCATACGTATATATTGACACTTACACGCAGAGGGCGTCGACCACGAGGTCGACCACGACTACTAGCTCCAGACATTGCCGCGGCGAGTCTGTAGCTCGCGTCTCTGTCTGTCATAACTGTCCCCGTCGTAAATATGCCACCACCGCCTTGGACGGCAGGAACTACGCCGGCGGAGTTGGCCAACCCACCACTGGTGGCGATTAAACTGCCTGTGTTGCCGGTCGGTCCAACGCCCAGAGTAGAACCGCATGAAGGTGTGTACCGAGTGCCAAGAGAGAGGAGTCCAGAGGCAGTAGGAGCAAGTGCGGCTGACTGCTGTATCAGGCCACCAGTACCACCCACTCCGATTACCTGCATACCCGAGGAGCCGACAGACTTACGCCTAAAACAAACGCGGACGGGGATTTAACAAGCTGTTCGTGTAATAACAAAACCCGATCCTTAAAAAGGAAGGAGGAAATTACCCGGGAAGAACTCTTGAGCCCCGCTGGACTGACTGACTCATTCTAGGGTCAACAATAGACTGGGTGAAGCCCCCGCGCGCAAGGGAAGTCTGTAAATGAAAAAAAATCGAGGATCGAGTTATGCCATAAAGGTGTAGATAAGATGGCCCAAATGAGCCCGGTATAAACTACAAGTTCAGGAATAGGTCATCTCACGTAAAAAGCCCGAGAAAGTGAAGAAAGTGGGGTACGCTGAGGCGTTGTCTAGTGCATTTAAGAGCCTTTTTAAGTCATCTATATCCGAATACAACAAATTTGAAGTGGGGAATTCGGAAGTAGTCCCAAACAAGACTTTACTATTTGACCGCGGCGGAAAAGTCCACCGAGTGCTAACTGTATCCGTATTGACATACGGGTATGCAGATTGAGTAAACGATAATTCATCTGTAATCTGTTAAACAGGAATTCTTACAGAGTTGAGGACCTGGCAGAGAATTCGGTAAAATGCGAAATTTCATATGGCAGGAAAGTTAGCTGACAGGTTACAGAAGGAAGGCGGATAAGTTAAGTGCTAATGTAAACGTTCAGGAGCGTTTTGTGGGCAGCGGTTAAATACTGTAGTAAGCTCATTGGCAAGGCTGTACAGACAACAATGATGGAGGAATAAGACAGTTATTCTTAATTACGTATTCAAAGGCGTGAATGTTTATTATTGCACAGGAATCATGAGAAAGGTAAAGGTGGATGGGAAAAAACGATAGACACCCTTTGTTAGACAACGTACTTTGTAACCGACTGGTTGTATAAGATGCTGCGCCAACTCCGGCTTTAACAAGCTCTTTCCGGCCTGGACAACTCCGCCAATCTGAACTTGACCGCCGGTTAGGAGGGCACTCGAGTCTTGCACAACATATGTATTGTTCGGGTCAATTGGAACTTCCACTAATTGCCCACTATCAGGATCTATCGCTGTCATACTCTGACTAAAGATTTATAAAGACTTCGACTCAGAACTTACGCGTAAGCTGCCATGACCAGACGGACACAAGCGAACTATGATGAGAAATTACACGGCGCCAGAGGACTGAGCGCACTAAAACAAAAGCACAATGCGAACAAAATGAAAAAAGACGACACGGTGAAAGTATCTATGCAGTAGCAAAAAACAAATACGGGAAAATAAACCTTTCGTTTGGAACTTAAGAAGTCCCGAGGGCCGGCTTTAGCAGAACCAAACTACTTTTGGCGAATTTGTTTAACTATGCCAAAGTATTTTCGAATTTATTTTTTTTATATTTAATGCGTATAAACAAATACTGAATAACGTCTCGTCACCATTCAAACTCGTTTTTTACGATCTTTTAAAGCGCCCGTTATGTTATAACTAAGTTTTTGTTATACAAAATTAAACTATTTGATACCCCGATAGCTAAGATATCGCCTTAACTGAGCGTTTGCAGCCACCTCGACTGTTCCGCCTGGTTTGTCAAATAAGTAGGTTTCCTGAGATCTCTGAACGGCAAAAACAGCCGCATATCAATCTGGGTCAAAGCCCAACATTCTACTGGTTTTTATTGTCCAGTCAGTCAGAGTCCAATGGCCTTCTATTAAATCCGTATTGCCCAAATTTTCTCTGACCGCGGGGTCCCTATGTAACTGTGATAATTTACTTGCCAATTAAAAATAATAATAATAATAATAATAACATAACTTGTTAGTCTGCATTGCCAGTTCAGAAAATAAAATAACATGTACACAACAAGGCTTACAGAAGTCGTCTTAATAATTTGCCTGTCTATATACCTTCTGAGGATTAGTGAAATATGTACTAAGTGAGATAGTCACCTATTTAGCGAGTTGTAATGTGTTGCAAGCCGACTTACGGAAGTTTTCTTGGAGATTTTTTAAAAACCTCAATACGCCCTTCACCATAATAAACGAATTTCGCCCAGCTTTCTGTCGCAACTTGGCAGAACCAAATGTTTCATGCGTCACGTATCGCGAGATTGGTCAAAGATCCAAAAAATACGAATGAAATGAGAAGATAAAAAAATTTATATGTTCAAGGTGCCTTCGGTAGTTTGGTGATGATGTTGATATTTCCAGTTCCCTTGATCGACTCTCCGAAAATATTGTTCTGGTGGATTGTAATTTTCGATGTTTTCGATATGAGGCAGTTCTTGAATTTATGGGTGCCTTGTGAATTATGGGTCATTTGTCTTCTATAGATATCGATTTGACTCAGAGTTACAGTTTTCTTTACCAAGAAGCCACGCCACCGCTAATTAGCTCTCTTGAGGCAGCTGGGCTACGAACGATCCAGAGCAAGACAACATGGTCAGCATGATGTGGGAGGTCTGGTGTTGGCGACATGATGGGTGAATGTGTTTGATGTCCACTTTTCGAAATGGGGACTCGGACAGGCGCGAGAACTGCCTGAGAGGAGAGTAATATGGACAGTTAGAAATGCACAACGATAAGGGGTTTAGATACGGATTCCCTTGAGACTGGTAGCCAACACGAAGGTTTGTGGGACTGCCCACCAGTTCGCTATTCTCTGAATCTATTAGCGGGTTGAAGTGCGTAAGGAACTCAGTACCTAGGAGGCCAATGAAACGTCGGTGTTCGTGGAAAATTGTTGGAAAGTTTACCGAAACCCCAAGTCTAGTGTGACGGAGCGTTAAGTAAAAATTTTGACTTTAAACTTACTAGCAGCTTTGAGACGTAAAGAGGTGCATGTCTGCTGTCAGGAGGCGTTGATAGGACCACGCGAACCTCGACGTTGGAATCGGCGAAGGACTTGGTTTCAACAACAGTGTCTTATAGAAACAAAGATCGAATGTAAAGGAGGGCAGGGCTTCCAGAAGTAGTCGCCCCTACTGCCGAATGGGATCGTTTCCCGAGGCGTGATAGATGACTTGAATGTCCATGGCTGTAAACTTCGTCGCGCCGTTGATCCGAACTGCCGGCGACGCCAGTGGATATTACTTGGAGAGTGCTGGCAGCACGTGCAGAAACGTGAGGTATCCGCTAATGGTCTGTAGTAGCAACTGCACCCTGTTCAGCTGCCAGTCCCGTGAACAACCGTTTCAGTCAGCCCTTACGCTGATCAGGTTCTCGAGAAGTCGGGATGACGATGTGACTTAAGGAGTCTGTGACTCTCAGCGTCATGACCTTGTCCATAAGCCCTGCCATTTTTGGTGTGTTTCCTCGAAAATCATGCAGAACTATTTGGATATCATGTGGAAGGGTTGAAGGGAAATTTGATGGAAGTTAGTGGCCTCGCATCTGCGTTTGCTAACAAGCTGCTTTATCTCCCTCAGCAGTCGCGGCAGTTTCCGGTCTCCAAAATCCTCGCCCTTGTCAGATGGCATAGTAGGCGCTCCTCGGTCATCGCAAAGTGCTTCGTCTCAGTCTACTCCAACTTTTCAACGAGTTGATCGAGGAGGTGGTAGAAGAGTAGGTTACGCAGTTCCTAGACATATTTTTCAGGAGGAACTCACGGTGGATGACTGAACGTAGTCTCCTGACAGACGATTTTGTACGCCGTTGCAGATAACCCGAATCTGCAACCGTCTCCAACGATGGGTTTGAGTGAGAATCCGGAACGTTAGGCTAGTGGACTTCTTGTTCCAGTGATTTCATCTCCTACCTGCGCATATTTTGAGCAAGAATCGGTACTTTAGATGCAGCAAACTATCGTCCAAGGCTAAAATCCTACTTGAGACCTACCGCCTGACAGTTTGGACTCTCTTTTCCTATATTAATACAATCTTAAATTTCTCCATTGTTTATTATCAGCTTTTTACTAATTTTTTGCAGTCACAGATGAAAAGTATGCTGGCACGCCTAGGCGCACCTCCACGTCGTGTCAGAAAATTGCACCCAATTCCTGCAGAAGGCGGCTTACTGACTTGTACGCCGACTGTGCATTGGAGAGAAAAGAGAGAGTTAGGTCGACTGCGGAAGCTTCTCTTAGCGACATTGTATCTGAGAAAAAAGGTTTACGCCTGCGAATTCCCCATACATTAAATAAAGATTGGGATAATTAACATCACTGTATAGAAATCACAACTTTAAGTGAATCTAGACTTAGATTTACACAATTCATTGGTGCTTGTGGTTACTCAGCCGCATAGTTCGTCTGTTGCTAAGCATATGTCTGTCAAGTCGATGCTTAAATGCCTCCACATATTCAATTCAATTCAACATATTGAGACATTACAATCGCTTTAAGAAGGTAATTCCACGGTTCCCAAGAAGCCGCTGGAGAAAAAAATACTTCCACACATCCTGTCTTCCTCGGGGAACACGTCGTTTAAAGGGATGTCTCGGAGGTTAGTTGTAGTGACAAGTTGAGAAGAGACGTCACACCGGATGGTGTAGTCCAAACCACGTGCGGTATGGAAAGTTGCATCAAATTTCCGCGCTATTGCCTGTAATTCGGCGGACAGTGATAAAGGTAATTTAGGCGGACTTTGTATGGCAGTGCAACTTGATCTCTTACTAGTTTTGCGTCTCGCCTGTGCACCCTTTCGGGTAGACTGAAATCTTACTCTGTCCAAGGCCTCCAGGCCTGGATTTATTATCCGCAACGCGTCCTTGAGAACGCGCCGACGACTTCGGAAGGGCATTTTTCATCGAAAACTATGAATAGCCGCTTGATGGCCTACGGCATTGGAGTTGCAGCCTCAGCCACTTCACAACATTGCGTAAAAGGCTTTAGAAAATCTGGATTCCGAATATTTTGCGTTTCTGCTTCTCAGAGCAGTATTCCGTCTAAATAATATGGTTACGTGCTAGGAACCTGACTTCGATTTCCGAGACGCAGTATGGTGCATCTGTTCAAATTGAAGGACACGAGCCATCTCCGGGACAAGTGTTCCGATCAACGAAGATTTTCTTGGAAGTTGGTTTTGTCGGCAAAATTTTCGACGACTTTCCAGATGTTAATATCATCTGCAAACAAAACACAATCGCAGCCCAATTCCTGTACACAATCGTTAATGAACAAGAGAAAGAGGGTCGATCTGAGCACTGAGCCTTGTGGGATTCCACTCTCTATGACTGTGCGTCTCGATTGCTGTTGCTGTACAGAAGCAACTGGGGGATGACTGACAGGGAAATTCTCGAGGTATTTAAGACGTGTGTTACGATACCCATCAGTCTCAGCTTGCACAGGAGGTATTGGTGCGGAATACTGTCAAAGGTCTTCCGGAAACCAATGTAGGCTACATGCCCAGCGTGTTTAGCATAGAGTGTTCTTGCCCAGCTTTGAAGTGCATACAGCAACTTCGCTACATACGATTTTTCCCTATGCAAGCTGTATTGTGTATTGGAGAAGAGGTTGAGTATTTTTTAATAATAATTCCTTTTTGATGGTCCTTTCCATGACTTTGAATTAAACTGATGTCAGATTAAGCGGTCTGTATTTAATCGTAAGTGCACAAATACTGCTTTCGTTAAGCGTAGTAATGTGGGCCGTTTTTCAGACCGTGGGAAGAATTTCCAGCATTAGACGACTGTTGAAGCGGAAAGAATTTCGGTTAGGCCAGCTCTCATGCAAGTTCAAAACGCATTTGTGCTGGAATATCATCCAAACCTGGATATTTACACTCCTTCAAACTTTTTGTTATGG